AACAGCGCGGGAGCGGTGGAGGAACCGCTTCAGCTTCTTCCTCTTCAGGGGACTTCCATAGTCGACCAATGATCAATACCATGGGCGCTAATTTGGGCATCATAGGTCGTGGAGCTGGAGCTACAACCTCTTCGTCATCTGCCTCGAGCAGTAGCGCCGCTGGTGGCCCCGCTAGTGCCGCAACAAGCACCGGACCAGTAGTTGCAACCACTACAGCGTCCTCCACGCAGACCAGCTCTACTCCCGCTCATCATGCGGAGCAAAAGCAAGATTCCCGACCCTACCCGGTTTTCCTCTGTGGGATTTCGCAGGGCGGGGTGATGGCCCTGCACATTGGGGTTGCAGCGGCGCTGTTGCACGAGAATCCAGTCATATATGCTCTGCAAAAGTATCGTACTCGTACTAATTGCAAATAGGCATGACAAATCTTTTTCCGAAGTGAAAACAGAATTACAAATTGCATTTGTCGTGCTGAGCTAATTTGTAATGCAATTTTTACTAGTACTCCGATACTTTTGCAATGCATATCATACCCGCGGGGGTTATTTCCTACCACGCCATGCCACATCGACTGTCGGTGTCGGATTACATTATGCCTTTGATGAAAAATTGGCAGAACCGACTTCTTCTCACCGCCGCGGAGGCAGCGAGCAGTAGTGGCGGAGGTGATCATGCTGCTGCTGCGGCATCTTCCTCGTCGGCAGGAACAGGAAGTGGAGTAGAAATGAACCATGTTGCGCAAAAGCAGGCCATCATTTTCCACGGCGAAGAAGATGCTGAAGCCGCGGCTCTGCGACTCCCCCCACCCCCGACGACCACTGTCCGCGCGATGTCGATCGACGAGGAGGATGAAAATGCTGCAACTACCGCTGCTGCTGCCCACATTGCGGCGCAACCGACACCGGCAGGGCAGGAGGCGGCGCAGATGGGCAGCGAAGATCAGGATGTGGGTTCATCCAACAACGTTACCATGACAACTGGCAGAAGTAGTACAAGCGGCGTTGCACCAGAAACCTCCGCAGGAACAACGAGCACGGGAAGTGTAAGTGAGCAAGATCTAGCTCGTCCGGCGTTTCTCGGACAGGATGGCTTTGAACATCAAGATGGGAACTATCCACAGTAAATTTCCCGTACACGTACAAATGCAGTCTCTGCATGACAAAACTTGCCTTCAGTCCTAGTCTAGCATGACAAGTTGGACACTGCAAGTTGGCGAAATTTGTCATGCATTTTGTACATCATTTACGGAAAATTTACATTGCATAGGAACGGTACAGACCACACTGACAGTGACATACAGGATGTGGAGATGAATGAAGACGAACCAGATCCCGAGGACGAAGAGGAGGATGGTGAGGACCGGCGACGCGGAAGGGCTGGTGCTCATCGAGGCTTTTTAGCCGCTGGGGGCCGGGGCGCGCCGGGTGCTAGAAGCAACACTTCTGGTGCACAACAACCGCCCCGGCGACCTGCTGGATTTGCGTTGCAGCCCGTGCTGGCTGCAGAAGGCGAGGACAGAGGTGGAAATGACGGGGAAGACATGGACGACGATGAGCAAAACCCACCGAATGCGAACCCAGAACATCAACAGGTCCAGGCGGCACACCCGACCACCTCGACTGCGAGCACCACACCGCTGAGCGTTCCTTTTCCGCCGGCAGCGGAGTCGGTCACGAATCTTCCTGGCTCTCCTACACGACCCCAGCAAATAAACGGTCAACAACTATCCTCCCTTCCCGCACTAAGTTCCCCCTGGCGGCAGATTCCGGTCCGTATGTACGCCAGTAGACGCGACGGCATCTTTCCGGGAGATTTTGTAAAGCAGAAAGCGGACGACTTGTTCCTGAATAAGCTGGAAATGACGGACTACAAGATTACCATCCAGCCGGACAAACAGCACGCGGATCCGTCCGGACCAAAAACGCTGGCGGAAAACATTTTCAACCTGCTGCGCCAACGGGACGCGGACGCAAAATTTTTACCGTAGGCGGAGGGAAAAGGCTGTAGCAGTATGTGTACGAAATAGAGTCGTAGGCAAAGCTCTTTGTCATGCGGCTGCACGGGACTAACAAAATGAAAATTCGCTTCAAGCAAGACTCGTGCTGTAAGATCTACTACAGAGTGGCTCCTGGTGTTACAGGAAGTAGGACGAGCGCTCGACGCAGATGACATTAATAAGAATCAGATGAAGATAAAGCCCGATTTTGAAGCAGCACTAGTAGCAAGAACTCGGGCGGTTGTTCTACACCAGGTCTACGACGCTATCCAATTTTGAGCCTCCAGTATCCTGGAGGACACAAAAATTCGTCTGTGTCTGTCTCTGTGTTTGCACCGAGGCTGCGGCGCTTAGGAGTAGATCTTTTTCATCATGGATGGTCGACTGCAAGTGGAAATACAAATAGAAAATGAAAGCATATACCAATGAGGCTCGCCTCCTTTTCATCTCCCCACAACTTGTTCGGCCTACACAAAAATCTGATTATGCAGTGAGACTGCACGGATGAATGTCTTTCAACACTGGCATAGCGGTAAACCCAGCAGCAGAACGTCCGGCCGTAAAAGCGCGCGT